TGGCTTGCGACACTAACTATCGACTGGATTAAACGGTTACCAGTTTTAATGAACTTAATCTTAACTTCAATTGATGCTGAATTGAGATTTTTGACATGAGATTGTGGGGAGTGCGATAGATGTACACATTTAGGAGCGCATATAATGAAAATTTCATTAACCGGCGTTGTTCAACCATCGTACCTCTCTTTAATTCACTTTCTTATAAGAGTATAATGACTTTATTCAATGAAAGAATAGGGGTATGCGTGGAGCCGTACGTCACAATTACATGTACACGCATCCTATTCCTCACTCCCAAATTAATCTTTCTCACTTTTCAAGCAGAATCTTGGATGTCTATATCTGGTGTTGCATTCGTAATCACAACCGATATAGGATCACAATTTAGTTCTTCTTTCCTTCTACAATTGGCCATCTCCAAGTTTCACAACACATCCAAATCACAGATTAAGTTGGTATCAGCTATGAGAGTGGAATCTGGCCTGCAATATGGTCAACCACGCAATGCAAATCATTGCATGTTGGGGATCGTGGTGGAAAATACAATTTGAGGGACGGCAGGACATGTACATATCAGACATCTGTTTGTGAACTTTATCTGTAAGGCTGGCTACATCGTCATTTGTCAGATCAGAAGTATAAAAGGGGGCAATAGAAAAATATCACAAAAGCAACCTTTGCCTATTCTCTTTGAGACATCGAAACCTGTGTATGTACCGATCACAATAGGCTGAATTGGAACCTATAAGGCATACAACTAAAGGAGGAGATAACGAACCTGAGGTTCCACAGGGAGACAAGCGATGGGAGTTGTTGGAGTGGTGAGAATGGTGGCATTGACCTTTCACACATCCTCCTCTGAGGTTGTTGCTGGACGTGCTCTTCTCAGAGCCTCGAGGGGTGGCACATTACTCCTGCGAAGAGCCGCGAACTCTTGAGCGCATCTGCAATGGAGAGCATAATATTACCATAGAACAAGATCATCTGCATAAAGTAAGCACTTAACGCCCGTGACTGTCTGTACCAATTGCAGGCAAAATATATTTTTGGCTTACAATAAAAAATGGGGTTCGAGAATTACAATTATCAGCATAACTATGAAATAAGCGTCAAACTTCATTGTGGCAGCATGAAAAGGGAAACAGAATTCTCCCTCTTGTTGTGCCTTCATTTTCATGAATAGAGATGAAATAGGGATGTTGTATTAAAATCTATCAACACATGACGATTGTGTGACCACTATCTCTTCCATCCACTTCTGCAAGCACTTGGTAGATGGTCTTCTAGCAAGGGATTTAGCAGTGAGTGCTCAATAAGTGTCTTGCCTATTTTGACCACAGAAAACGCACCTGTCTGCAGTGAGAATAGGCCAGACTTGATCAATATTGTAACAAATACACTGAAGAAGCGTATGCCAGATCTGATCATCTAAATGACATCTCTTAAGGATCAGTACAACGCTCTCCTGCAAACCCCACTTCCATTCAAAAAGTCGACTGAAATGGTGTTGCAGGCGCAGTAAGACATTTTGTCTTGCTGTGAGATGTTAAGTCTGCCCTGCAACTGTTGCAACACCTTGAAGTAGAAATGGCTTAATTCTTTCACAGTTTTCACCTCACCTTTTTTCTTCCTTTGTGTCTGTCTCTTTTACAACTTTGAAATACTCTTCTGTTCCTCTCTCCCCCTCTCAACCTTTTCACTTTGATGATCCCACCCCTCTGTTAAACCTGAAGTCAACTAAATGGCTAATGATAATTATCATATAGCCTGCCATTGGATATAAATTAATATATATATGTACGTGTGTGTGTGTGTGTATAAGTGTACTTGAAAAAGTATCAAAGCACTAACAACCTGAATTACTTCTCCCCTATGTAAGTGATAAATTAGCTAAATTTTACTGAATCAAATTAAAATATTCATCTCAATCAAGATGAAAATAATAAAATAAAATAATAACTAATATAGCACCTAGAAGAATCGATTTTGAAAGATTAACTCAGTAGGTTAGTGCCTTGGCAAACAGTTAACCCTTAATTGCCTGTAATCTTTACCGGCGTAGATCCAGTTCGATCGTGTCCACACAGTATTCATCATATCCACGGTGGTTTCATCTTTTGCCATGCATTTAGCCTTGCTAATTTTGGTAAAGATATTGCTTAACTTGAGTTATTATAACTGCACTCACAACTTAAAATATGGATTTTTAGATCACTTTCACCTTGAACATACTATTTTCTCAAAATCGATAATGAAAAGGCTCACGATTTGCACTTTAGAATTAGAGAATTAAAACTGTAACTACTAAGTTATGGTTAAATTTTCATCAACTGGATACTTATTCTCCAAACTACAATAAATCTAATATTTTTAAAGATCTAACATCATTTTAACATTTTATCGCCAGAAGGTAGTTAAAAAAGGGGTTTAAAATTCGAGTTAGCATGTGGGCTGAGCACAAAACCCACGTAATCAGTTAGAGTAAGATGATGCAAAGCTATGATGAGGTTTATCAATTGACTGTCATGTGATAATATATTTCACGAATAGCTACACCAAAAGACGAACAAATACAATTTGAAGATGCTGTTTCATTGGCTATTAACATGCACTAGGGGGAGAGTCTTAAACACTCTATATTATACTGTTTATTAGTCTACACGCATTTACCTATGTAAGTCAACTTTTTTCAGATTAAAAGACTGTGAAAAGAAATTTTCAACCTTTTATACTAAGTTATCAAATAGTATTGCAGAAATAGAGGCTGATTGCACTTAACGTATTTTGAAATCAAAGCCATTTCCCTTATATAGCTGTATATCATTACGTAAAGATGCATTTTTGATATTATAAACCGTGGAAATATTGATTTTGTGTACTAAATTTATTTATTTATTTGAATTTTCAAGCAGAGAGTCGAATTTTATAAAATACTTTCTGATAGTTCATTATACAAATATATTTTACGCCGTTTATATATATTTTTTAATAAAACTAATCAAGCAAATAGTGAAGTCAGCAATGCCTTTATGAGTTAAATCAATTATGACTTGAAACTTCAGATGTTAACCAGGGTAAATGGAAAGTGTGATCGCTTCTTAAAAATGTGGTGATGAAGAGTAAAATAGCATCGCGTGTGAATGAAAATAATGTAGTCGAAGTAGGACTTGAGGGAAAGAAATTGGCAATTAAATTTTGACATTTAACCTGATGTGATAAGATTTTGTAATTGACAGATTGTGTGTCAACTGTTATCTCAGATGCAGACAAAAGCCTTACCATTGCCAAAATATGACCGCCTGAAATATGGATCTGCACATGGAAACGATCAAGATTTGCGCTTTAGGTAGAGAGAATTTAGTGATTATACCAAAAATAAGCCTAACATGATATTCAGGTTTAATTTTTTTGAAAAACTTTATTTATTGGTATAATTTGGGATTATTGTCTATTTATTTTATGCTTATCAATTATAATTCAATGTTTTCTAATAGCCATCATATATATCTCATGCCTTCCCCATACTCAACAGTACATAGATAAATTTGTTTACACCAGTAGAAAACAATTAAAATGGGTGGTAGATTTTAGCATCATCACTCGCAAAGGCGAAATTATCAATTTAAATACGTACGAAATAAATAGCAAGTAAAAATAAATTAATGAAAATGTTGAGTCAATAACAGATATTAACATCAATATCTCAAAGCACTTCATTTGGAATAATGTTAAATAATGTTATTTAAATGCACATTTGTTTTGCCTCAGTTTTATATATATATGTTTTCAAATAATTTTGACAAATTCTAATTTAATGCGTTCTTTTTAATAAAGAAAGCCGTAATCAGAAATGGGTTGTCAAGAATGTGTAGTAAAGATGTCCGATCACCAAGGAGTGCCATGCAAAATTATTTCCACATTGTTGGTCGCGGCTGGTATAGCCATTATCGTCGGTGGAGCCATTCTTATCAGTTTTAACAAACAATATGTAGCAAATACAAGCTACACTGGTCCGGAAGCATCGTAAGTTTCACATTCCTTTGTATGATTGTCTCATAATGCTTGTGCCCTATTTTGCCACTACCTTTTCACTTATCTAATTTCCGACTACCATTTTGTATAGGAAACATCTAACGACTAATTTTAAGCAAATTTATTTGCGATAGACTTACCTCCACGCGGTGCACCCTGGGCAACGTATACTCATACGGCAAAAAAGTCTATTAACCGGCAGTTGACTTCTGACTTCATAATACCATGGCCCAACTGCTTGTCATATTCGACCACTTTCACAGTACCCATCTTACCTTTTTCCCTACCTTTATGTCTGTCTGCCTCTTTTACATCTGTGAATCGCTCTTCTGTTCCCCGCTCCTCGACTTTCTGCTACTTTGATGAACCTTCCCTCTGTGAAGCCCAAAGTCAGCTAAATGGCTAATGATAGCTATCAAAACCCCTGCCATTTGAAATAAATAAATAAATTTGCTAAGAAGCATTGCGTCACAGGTTTGTGGGATTGATTTACCTAATACCAAATAAGCTTTCCTGAAATTTTTCGCAAAGAACAGGATGAAGAAGAAAGAGAGATGTAGAATTCCTAGACAGTCCAAGAAAATAGTAAACGGATGGAAGGTCAATTTAAAGAAAAAATTTAATTTACTCGGCCTTGGAATTAAGCAAGTTTGTGAAAGTAGAGTATCACTGCTTATTGAGATGAATGACACTCAAAAAATTTAAGTCTCAACCCCAGTT